GGCAGTTGCAGCCGCTGCACCTGCCTCTCCTTCCTGCTCGCCACCTGGGGCAAAGATGCCGTGAGCACTGGGGCCGTGGAGGGCAGAAGGCAGTGGGCACAGACTTTCCCTCAGAGCCCACTGCCCGTGCCCTGTAGCCTTGGCACCTACATGTGTCACCCTGAAGAGGGTACAGGGCCAGCCTGCTGTGTTGCTCTCGGCCACCCAGTGCACTGTCACCATATCCGTGACGATGGGCTGCATCTCCGTTGGCCAGAACTCCTGTGGCTGGGACCGAATGAGGACTGCTCGGCCTGCTTCCTAAGGTCTCTGTCCACACCCTGGCCACAGACAGTTTCACAAATGCCTCCCACCCTGTCTCCTGCTCCTCTCACCTTCTCCTGGGTGTCCAATGGGCACAGAGAGACCAGCACGCGGGCCCTGTGCTCCCAGGCCAGCTCCCAGAGCTCCCTGGGCCCTGCTGGGCCGGTCAGCACCACATGGTCACGACCAGCAGGCCCACCCTGCAGAGTGCAGCTCATCAGCTCCCAGGGTCTGGGGGTGTCTCCCGCCACCCCACCACTCCAGGAGCCTCTAGCAGTCCCAGTCCCAGCCTGGGAAGTACAAGTGGTCAGAGAAGGTGAGCAATAGGGCGGTAAGCCCCGCGTCTTCTCACAGGGAAGAGCCAGCCTTCGGGCATGTCGTCAGGGGACCTCTCCTCCACTGGAGAAAATGGCACTTGGGCACGGTGAGCTGGGGGAGGACGGGGAGGAGGAGGCTGCCAGAGGTCCCAGCTGAAGCTTGACTGCCCACGTGGTGCATGAGACTCACAGGAGCGGGCGCTGCTCTGCTCGTAGCCAGGAGGGGGCGTCCACGAGCCAGCCTCCTCCTTGATGGCCTGCAGCAAGAGCTGGGAAGGAAACAGCCCCTGAGGCTGCGCAGAGCCCACGGAAATGCAAGTTGGCAGGGGCAGGCTGCCCTCGGTTGTCACCACCCCGGACCTGGGAGCGTACCTTGTACTCCTGCAAGAAGCCAGCGTTGGCATTGGCTGCCCTCTTGGCATAGGCCTGTGCAAAGTTCGCCACAGAGATGGGTCGGGACCTGCGGGAGGCAGCTTCTAGTCTTCTCCACTCAGAGACAGGAGTTGGGAGTCCACAACCCACCCCAAGGGCCCAAGGGGAGCCCCAACCTACTGGGAGGTGTCCGAGGACCCTTCCAGGATCTTGTTCAGGAGGCAGGTGTGCAGGAAGAGGTACTGGCTCTGGCAGGGGGAGGGGGCGTCAGTCTGCCCAGCGAGCGTGGCCCATGGCCCAGGCAGGGGTGGGCAGGAGGGAGCAGGGAGCCCCTGGGCGCCTGTCCTGTCCTGTGCGACATGGTGCAAAGCTGGCAGGGGCCCGTCCCTCCTCCCCTTGTACAGAAAAGGAAACAGCAGCCCAGACAGGACTGCTATATGTGAGCCCTCTGCCCAGGGTCTGCCATGTGGCCCTTTTCCTGGTCCCCGCAGACACTGAGGCCCTCACCGGGGTCTGGATCATGAGGGGCCGGTGCAGCCGGAGCGCGTATACAGCGTTGAACACGTCCACCACCTTCTCCTCCTCCAGCTGCTCCAGCAGCCTCAACAAGGCCACAAAGGTGCCCGTCCGGCCCACGCCTGCACTGCAGGGAAGCCCCCAGGAGCTGATCGGTGAAGGGTTATACCTGTGTACCCAGCTCTCCCCACAGTCCCAGAGCGCCCAACCCCCAGGCCAGGCAGAGGTCCCCCATGCACCCACCCCACCTGCTCTCACCTGCAATGCACCAGGATGGGTCCGGTGCCCTGGGTGGCCTTCACCTGCTCCCGGACCAGGTCCACAAAGGCCAGCAGTGAGCTGGGAGCCTCGGGGACGCTGTGGTCGGGCCAGGTGGTGAACTGCAGCTGCTTCACTCGCCGCTGCTGTTGCTGGGCCACCTGAAGGCAGGGTGGACCAGAGGGGCAGAGGGGCTGCTGGGGGTCCTTGTCTTCCTGGCTCCAGGTGCCCTGGCCCAGCCTCGTGCCTCCTGCGCCAGCTCCCCGAGGGTTGAGGTGATGCCTCCCCCTGACGGGCCATCCCTGGAGGGTGGCAGCTATGTCTCCCTTCCTCATGTGGGTCATTTCTGGGCCCCGGGCCCTTCTTAGCCTCCTGGACAATCTCTGATTTTCCTACCCTAGGAGGTCACAGCCTTAGAAGGCAGACGGGGCACCAGGGGTTGGGTTTGGGGGGGAAGCTGGGAGCCCTGAGCTGAGAGCAGGGGAGCAAGGCAGGAGCCATCAGGCCCCACTCTGTCTCACCCTCACTCTGTATGTGACCTGGACAAACCCTAACCTCCTCTGTGCCTCCCTACCCCTTCCCTAGGCGGTGGCCGAGTGGCTAGGATCCTTGGAAGGAAGTCCACGGGGACCCACGGGGTGAGGCGACCTTCCCAGAGGCGTCAGCTGCAGTCCAGCCCCATGCCCATCCCCTGGGGCACCCACATGCTGCAGCTGAAATTCCCGCTTGGTCCACTCATCCTCAGGCTCCTCCACCAGGAGGTGGATGGTGATGTGACCGTGAGTGACGGGGGTGGAGTCGGCCGGCCAGTAATGCTCGCACAGCACCTAGGCCGCAGGGTTGGAGAAGGAGAGGACGGCTGTGGGCCCAACCTCCCCACCTGCCTCCCTGCTTCATCCATCCCGGCCCTCCCACCCATCTTTCTGGTCCCTGCCACCTGCTGCAGGTCTGCTCTCTGCACCGACCCAGCTCCAAAGCCACTCCTCTGTAAGCCTCTCTCCCCTGGCTGGGCTCCAGCACCTTCACCCCAGGCCCTGCTCACAACCTCTAGGACTTTGAGTTAGCTGCTGGGCTCCTTTCCAAAACTGGTGGCCTTAGTGGCCATCTGCTCTTTCCCCGCTGCTCCAGTGACAAACTCGGCAGCCTCTCTCTGTGCAAAGACCCCACAAAGAAAGGATGTGGAATAACCTACCCTGGCTGCCCACCTGGGGTGGTCCTTACCCCCATCCTTCTCTTAAACCCCGCCCCTTCTTCACCTAGAGCAAGTAGTCAGTGGAAACTGAGTCAAACTAGAAACATGCGAATCAGGAGCTTGCCTCCCCATCCTGGGGGGCCCTGAGGGTCCCCCAACCTGCAGGCCTGATTGGCCTCCCTCCTCCCTGCCCTACCCACCCTGATGTATGTATCGTGGAATGATTCCTGCAAGGAGGACGAGAGCCCCCTGGTGGCCATGCCAGGAACCTGCAAGCACACTCACCCTCCCGTTCTCCATGCCCACGGTTAGCATGACGATGACATGAACCTGCTGCTCCCACACCAGCCGCCAGAAGTCCTCCAGCGTTTTCTTGAGAGGCCCTTGGGTGGCAATGAATTCCTGCGGGTGGGTGTAGCCCTGGGGATGGAGAGCAAAGGGCAGGAAACATTAACAGGGGCGGTCCCAGTCCCTGGGGTCCCACACAGCACCCAGCAGTAGGTATACCATGTATGACTCCAGGAATGAGGATGTGGTGTACATGCCTACACAGGTACCAACCCATGAACACACGTGTGCACCAAGAACTCAGACCAGATGCCAGCCCCATGGCATGGTGGGTAAAGCAGCTGGATCCTTCCTGACCAACTGCACAACTCTCTCCCGGACCTGGTGGCTTGAATGCCGGGGCGTGTGCGTGCACGCCCGGAATCCCCACGGGGGCAGAAGTAGAGGAGAAAGGACTGTGGTGTGACTGTCCCTCATGGGAGGTGGGGGTGCCTTCTCCTCTCCCTCTTTCTCTCTGTCTCTTTCTGGTGAGCCCGTGTACACTCTGGCAATTTAAAACAAAAGAAAAAGGACTCAAACCAGGAGGGGTGACTTCAAAACACCACCATCTCCGCATGCCCCACCTCAAAGGGGCAAGAAAAGCCTACATGAAAATAACAGGACGCCGACACGCCAAAAACAGTCTACCCAGGCCATCCTGTTCACCAGTCTCAGAATGACTCTCCTAAAACCAAACTCTGCACTTCCATGTTCGAAGATCTTCCATGGCTCCCAATGCCCACCAGATATGAATCCAAGCCCTCGGCCCAGCAGTGGAGACTGTCCATCTACCCCTAGTCTGCTCTCCCACCCCACCTCCCACCAACCGGGACCCCGCAGCCACTTACGGGGATGAAGTTAGCATTGATGTAGTCGGAGTGGGGCTCCCCCTCCAGCTGGCTCAGCCTGACTCGGGAGTGGTCATCTGCAAGGGCAAAAGCCGTGCCTCTGGTACCCAGGTGTGCCTGGCCCCCTCCTCTGTGCCAGGCCCAGGCCCTGTGCCCACGCCTCCCCAGCTCCCAGCACTCACAGGGCAGCACATGTGGGTACCGGTTCTTGGCGGTGTTGGCGGGGTGTTCAGCCTCCAGCCTGGGCTGCTCCTTGCCCACTTCCTTCAGCTCCTGCAGAGGCCAGGGCAGGCCCGGCAGCTGAAGCCCACCCATCTCATCCCACACCAGGGGACGGGCAGGGTGCTGTGTGCAGCTGGGTCCCGCAGGCAGGCCCGACCGGGCCTCAACACCCCGCCAGCCTCCCGCCCCGCACACGCCCT